TTCACCGTCGACGGCACCGTCCCGACTGCTCCTGCGAGCGACGCCGAGGAGTTCGAGGAGGAGGAGCTGGAGGCCCACGTTCACGATGACGGCGCCGACGGCCAGAAGCTGGCCGTGGTGCAGAGTCACGGCGACGTGGGCGCAGGCGGGGGCCTCTCGGACGGTGAGCCTGCAGGCAGGGACGGTGCCGCGGCGGGGATCGAGGGGACGACGCGCTTCTTCGACTGGTTAGACGACGAGGCGCTCTTCGGCCCCAACGGCCCCGTGGAGAAGGCCCACTTCCTGGACCGCGCCAGCCTCGACGCGCTGGCGGCCGCATCCACGATGCAGTGCGACGCAGTGGAGGTGCTCCGCTGGTGTGCGGTGGACAGGGTCAAGGACGACCACGCCGCGGAGCGCGACGGGGGCGCAGACAAGGGCATGGACATGGACGAGTTCATGCAGGCAGTGCGGGCCGAGACCCAAGGAGCAGACGGAGCGAGTGGGGTGTTGATGTGATGCACCGCGCTTGAATGGAGCGGCGGTTCGGTGGGCGTTGGCGTTTCGGCCTCGACTCACGTTGGGAGAGCGGGATCATCATTATCATCATCATCATCATCATCATCATCATCATCATCATCATCATCATCATCATCATCATCAATCAGCGCCAGCATCTGTTAACATGTCCCCACCGTCGCGAAAACAATGAATTTCAGACCCTTCCCCCCCTTCCCCCCACTCCACCTTCCGCGCTCGCGCGCGCGCTCACCCGCCACCCGCGTTCGCGAACGGCTCTGCGTCAGGCGCTCACGTGCCACTTCCCAGGCCCGTCCTCCTTTTTCCTCCTCCCGTCCCTCCTCCTGTCCCCTTCATGTTGCCTATCTTCCTCCGCTCCCCTCTCTTCCTGCTGCTGCTGCTTCTCCCCCTTTTTCCTGTTCCTCCTCTCCAATGCCTTTGCCTCTTCCTCCTCCTCCTCCTGCGCTCTTTGCTCCTCCGCCTGCCCCTCCTCCCCCTCCTCTTCCTCCTCCTCCTCCTCCTCCTCCTCCTCCTCCTCCTCTCCCTCTCCTTCTCCTCCACCACCACTGCTGCCTCCTCCTTCTCCTGCTCCTCGCCCTCCTACTCCTCCTCCTCGTCGTCCTCCTCGTCCTCCCCGAGTTCGGGGAATTTTGCAAGGTCAGGAGCGCCCACCGCCGTTCCGAGCGCTAGCGGGTGGGGCGAACTCCACCTGTCCGCTCGTCTCCTCATGCTCCTCCACCTCCTCCTGGCCCGCATTGCAGCGCTGGACGGCGTTGGTTCTCTGCAGCACCGACGGCCCTGCTTTGCCTCGTTTCCCGTGCCGGCGGATGTCGGTGGCTTTCGCCGTGGCCCTTGTTTTCGCGGCCGCCGAACGGTTCGGCATCTCGTCTGCGTGCATGCTGCTAAAAACCGCCTTGCACAACGAGCAGCACTGCTGGACTTGGGCGCCCAGTCAGGTGTTGGCGGGGGTCGCCAGAGGCTGCCCTCTTTCGGATGCGCTCTGGGCCCTCGCGGCCGCGCCGCTCCTCGAAACTGTGTCGGGGGCAATCAGCCTGCCCTCACGACCCCTACTGGCTCGTCCGCCGTGCGAAGATGTGCCGATTGGCCCAGGTCGTGATGCTGAGCTCGGAGTTTTCGCTGATGATCTTGGGGTGGCGCCCTGGGAGCTGGCATCTCTTCGTAATGTTGCCCCGCATCTCGAAGCCACCGGGCGTCCTTAACCGAGAAAGTGCTTGCTGGTCCTGCTGTGGTTTCTGGCATCCCAGGTTGATTTTGTACGTGACCGCATTCGCATGGCGCCAGCCGAAATGGTCTGGGAATGGGGGAGATTGCACGATCGGGCCTGCATCAATGCATTTTGGACGCTTCATCGGGCGAGGCGCTACCTCGACTGACTCATGGCTGGCGCCTTCAAGCAACTACCGGCCCCGAGTGGCCATCCTCGAGGCCACAGCCACGACCAGCCTGGAGGCCACCAAGCTCTGCGACTCTGCCGCCATCACGGTACGCCTTATGATTGTCGCATTCTCCCCCTCCCAGAGGTCCGATTCATGATGCGAATTGATGTCCTTCGCTGCGCTTCGAAGGCGCTTCCAAAGTTGCTCAGCCTCGCCGATTTGTTCAGCATGCATGCGAGGCCCCCGTGTCCGCAGGGGCGCCCTCGTGTGCGCGAAGTCATTCGCGCTTCGCGCTTCGCGGTTCGGCTCCGATTCCTCCTCATCCTCCTCTTCTCCCCTGGGAGGCGGCGCGAGAGCGCGAAGTTATTCGCACTTCGCGCTTCGCGCAGCGCGAAGCGCGAAGTTGGGAGCCCTTGTGCCCGACTTCATAAACGCTCTTGCCTCCGGCGGGGGCTGCTGCCCGGCGCACGGCCAGCGCCGCCCTCGGCGGCAGGAGGGAGCTCGCGGCGGCATGGGAGGGAGCATGCTCCAAGGGCGCCCTCGAGGGCGCGTCGCGCTTGGCGCTTCGCGATTCGGCTCCGATTTCTCTTCCTCCTCCTCCTCTTCCCCCCTGGGATGCGGCGCGAGAGCGCGAAGTTATTCGCACTTCGCGCTTCGCGCAGCGCGAAGCGCGAAGTTGGGAGCTCTTGATGCCCTCGACGACCTCACGCCCACGTCGGTCGCTGCAGGGATCTGGTCTTCGACTATTGGGCCATGTCGCAGTCCATGGCGCAATGCGGTGGGGGCGGGCGTTCGTCAAGGAGTAGGCCGAGGATTCTCCAGACCCCAGAGGATTCCCTGTCTGAGGAGGGCGGCGGCGATATGCATGGCGAAGCCTCAATTGGTCTTCCATTGGCTTCCAGACCCTGGGTTCCTTTGTCCAATGGTTCCCTATCTCGTGGCCTCACCGTGCCTTATCGCAGTCGACACCGCGACTCTTGCGGCCCCTTGCGCGCGGTTCGAAAAAGAGGAGGCATGGAGCCGTGCTGCTTGCCAGCCGCGCAGCCAGCGTCGACTTGACTGAAGCCCCGCTCCTTGGCCGCCGACCCCAGCCGCAGCGCGTTTCACCGTGAGGCGGCCTCTTTACTGTAGCCCTCTACCCAAAGGGGCTCCACATCACCACTGCCCAGAGGATCCGATCCTGGTGCTCCCGCTCGCACGTCCCGAAGATCTTCCGGATCGGTGGCAGCGACTCCGTCACCAGCCTTCGGTCGCTGCTCCTGGCGTGTTGTGGGCGCCCTACCGCGCGCTGGCCAGGGCCTGGCCCAGCCCTTCCCGATGCACGTTTGGCCCTCGACAGGTGCTTTTCCGGTGCGTGCGCCAGGGAGATGCAACGTTCAGATTGGCCATTGCTTGCCCTGGGGTGCCGCATGGTGGGCTGCTTGCCAGGCGGCAAGTTCGCACGCGAATGCCTCAAAGCTGCACCGCATGGGCCGAGGAGGTTTTGCAGGATTCGCTGTCGCCGACGACGGCGAGCACAATTTGCCGCAGACCGAAGCACGGCTGGCGCGTCAATGCCACATCTGCAACACTCTTCGTCACCGCTTCGGTGCACAACACATCTGACCGCCGAGCGCGGCAGTGAGCGCCGCGAGAATCGCAGCCCAGAGAGTCCAGGTGCCACCCGCTTCAACAATTTCCGTGAGCGCGACGCCCAGGGCATTAGCACCCCCAGGGGACGATCCGTTCTGATTGCGGGTGCTACTGGTGCGGAGGGCGTGGGCTCCAACGATTGGTCCGCCATTGCCACCTCCAGTGACCTCCTCAGCCTTCTCAGAAGTTTCCCAAGCCTGCTCGGAAGGCAGAGACGGCTCCTCAGAAGGCCGGGGGGGGTTCTGAGAAGCCCCGCCGCCTTCTGAGAAGGCCTGCCCTCTCTCGCTTCCCCCCCGGGCGCGCCGCCAGAATGAAGGTCACCAGCGAGCATTGTCGCGGCCGCCCGGTGCATTCAGAGGGGAAAATGTGCCGATGCCGTTGCTCGTCCCGGGATTCTCTTCGAGGTTTTGGTCAGAACGCACCTCAGGAGAGGCCCGTGGAGTAGCGGTATCGGTACCTTCCGGTGCCCCCATGCATCCAACATCGGCGATAGCCCTTTGTGGCGGCGCTCCGTCTCCGCCTCCTCGTGGGCTTAGGTGCTCTTTCAACCTATAGCTCGCCATGGATATCCTCCCTCCCTGCCTCCTTCATCCCTCCCTCCTTCCCCTCGGTTCGGCCTCTCCCCGTTCTTCACCGTCTTCCCGTCTCTGCTTGCTCACCCTTCTGCCTTCTCCTCATCTTCCTTCACTCCTCATCGTCCTCCCTCCTCCTCTTCCTCCTCCTCCTCCTCCTCCTCCTCCTCCTCCTCCCTATCATCATCGTCCTCCTCCTCCTCTTTCCCCCCTCCCTCCTTCCCTGCTCCTCCCCCCTTTTTCCTCCCCCCTCTTCCTCCCTCTTCCTCCACTCTCCTCCCTCCCTCCCTCCCTCCTCCCCCCTCCTTCCCCTCTCTCCTCCTCCATCCTTCTCCACCCCCGCACATCCGCAGCTCGGCGGGCCGCCGAGGGGGCGCCGCTGCGCCATGGCGGTCTGGCCTCCGGAGGGCGGCGGCCGCGAGGCCTCCCTGCCGGGCGCGCCGTCGGGCACCGCGGCGCTGGCGGGGCAGCGCCGGCTGCCAGCGAAGGGCGGCGACCGCACGGCAGCGCTGCTGGACGCGCTGGCCGCGGCGCTGGGCGCACCCTCGGGCGCCGCTGCGCTGGCGGTGCCGCACCAGCTGGGCGACGAACAAAAACGACGGATCCCACTGAGCCGACATTGGCGCGGAAGCTCCCCGCGTAGGGTCGCGCGTGAGCGCCCTCGGCTCCAGCGTGGCGTGCCGCGCCGGCGGCCCGCGTAAGCCACCGCGGAAGGTCGCTGTGCCATCTCGCGTCAGACCCGCTTTCGACCGCCGTTCAGCTGCCGGCGCCCAGGGGAGGCATCGGTGTGCCCCTGCCCTTGCCGCGGGGCCCTCGTCGCCGCTGCCCGAGTCGGCTCAGAGCAGCGGTATCGGTGCCATCCCAGGCGCCCCTCGACGCGGGCGGCGCGCGGGCGGAGGAGGACGAGCTGCGCGCCGCGGCGCTATGCCGGCTGGCCGCCGAGGGCACGCCCGCGCGAGCGAGGCGCGCCTGTGAGCGCCTCCACAGGCGGCTCGCGGAGTGCCAGCCCCACAGCGGCCACGCGGCAGCCTGCACGGTCGTCCTGCTGCTCGGCCGAGGGCCTGCCCAGGGCCAGCACCCCTGCCGCGGAGCGGCGGAGCGCCGAGGCAGCAGCGCCCTCGCGATGCGCGCCCTGCACCGGGCCGGCGAGGCGCCCTCCTCGCACAGCGCGAGCACGATCTTCCAGCGCCCCGCGATGGTGGACGACGAGCTGCCCGCCGGGGCGTTCCCCAGTCTGCGAGAGGACGCGGGGCTCTTCGCGGAGCCCGACCCGGAGGAGCCGGCCGGCCAGCCGCAGGGCTTCGCGCCGGCCGCCCGGCCGCAGGGGCTGTCCAGGTGGTTTGGGCAGCCGCGGCGCCCCGCCGCCGAGGTGCTCTTCGAGCTCCCAGGTGAGCGACGCAACAAAAACGGGGTCGTCTGCGCCGACGTTGGCGCGCAAGCTGCCCGCGTCAGGTCGCGCATGAGTGCCCTCGCCTCCGGCGCAGCGTGCTGCGCTGGCGGCCCGCGTAATTAAGCCGCAGCGTATAGGGTCGCTACGCCGCTACGCCACCTCGCTTAAGACCCGTCTTTGCTCGTCGCTCAGGTGCCGGCGAGCTGGAGCCGCAGCTGGAGCCCGAGGTCGAGCCGCCAGGGGCCCAGGACTCTGCGGCCGCGGAGCCGCGCGCTCCGCCGGCGCGCCTCCCGGACTGCCGGCGGCTGCGGCTGCGTCGCCAGGCGGCCTGGGAGCAGCGCGGGAGTTGGGACGCGCGCTGGGAGGCCACGAGGGGAGGCCTGTCGCTGCTGCAGCCCCTGTGGCTCTCGTGCGCCAGCCGCGTCCAGGAGTCAGCATCCACTAACCTTACGTCGGGCATGGCCCTCTACCTACAGGAGGAACATATGAAAGTAGTCAACAATTATCAGGGGAAGATGTTGTGATTATTGTTTCTTGCTTGTTTTTGTTATGAATGTTTGATTTTTCTTTTATGATTCGCCTGTAGGAGGACACGCCCGACCTAAGACTGACCTGTCCCCATTCCCGCTGGGCCGTGGCACCTGGGCGCCACCAGCCCACCCTCCCAGGTGGGGGCAGGCCCAGCGAAACCTGAGGGAACCGGCGCGTATGATCCAGGGCCGAGGGTCCAGGGCCCCCCCCCTGATCCTATGGGGGGGGGACGACGACGACGACGACGACGACGACGACGACGACGACGACGACGACGACGATGACGACGACGACGACGACGACGACGACGACGACGACGCCGACGCCGACGCCGACGCCGACGCCGACGCCGACGCCGACGCCGACGCCGACGCCGACGCCGACGCCGACGCCGACGCCGACGCCGACGCCGACGCCGACGACCGACGACCGACGACCGACGACCGACGACCGACGACCGACGACCGACGACCGACCGCCGACGACGACCGTCGACCGACGACCGACGACCGACGACCGACCGATGACGACCGACGACGACGACGACGACGACCATGACCATGACCACGACCTCGACCACGACCATGACCATGGCCTCGACCACGACCACGACATCGACCTCGACCTCGACAACGACCACGACAACGACCTCGACCACGACCACGACCACGACAGGGCACGACCACAGGGTCGTGGAGGGGGAATCCAGCACGCGGGGGGGGGGGGGGGGGCGAGCCCAATCCCATGAGCAGTGGGGGGGGTGCGCTCGAGGTGAGGGGGATCCAGCACGCGAGGGGGGGGGGGAGGGGGCGATCCCATTAGCATTGGAGGGAGGATGGTGGGGGGCCTGGAGCCCTGGATCATACATCCCTACCTGCAGGTGGATACCTCGGACAGTAGGGGCCAAGGCCACGCCCGTGCTTGGCATCGAGCGTTTTTTTCTCGGGCGCGAAACCAACAAATGCAGACGGGGAGCCGACGTGCGGGCGATGGCGAGAGTGGGGGAGAGGGAGCGGCGAGGCGACGCCCGAGGAGCGCGCGCTGTGGGAGCACCCGCACGGGCTCGGGCTGCTGAGCTGCCTCGGCGAGGACGGCCGGGGCTGGGTCCGCGCCGCGGGCCTCGCCCTCCGCGGCGTGCCCTCCGACTTCTTCGAGGCCCCGCCCGCGCAGCCTCCGCACGGGCCTCCGGCGGGTGGATGCTCTCGGTCTTGGGCGCGACTCGGGGGGGGGGGGGGCGAGCATGCACGGTGGGTCGGGGGCGGACAGGCCTCCCACCCCGACACGTCGATCGGTGAATTGGCCGTGGCCGATTCGCGAGAGGGCGTCGCGGCCGCTCTCTTCGTGGCGGGTCCAGGTCCGTCGGTTTCGGCCCGGGGCCGGGTTCACCGAAGGGAGGTTCACCGCAGGGAGGCTTGTCCACCGCCGAGTGGGGGGCAGGGAGGTGCCCTTCTCGGGCCCTCGACGCCCTTTGTCGGCAGCCCCTGCTGCCCCGCCACGTATCGCCCCCCTGTCAGTTCGCGCCCAGACGTCCTGGAGAAGAGAAAATGGCATACAGTCGGACCATGGTATATACATGATCGCGGTCGGTTCGGAGAGGGTGCCCAAGTGTGCTTCGTGTTTGTTTGACGCTGTTGTGCGTTGTACCCTTGGATGCCTTGTGTGTTCTGGCGGATGCATGTCCTTAGTCTTGGGCACGGATTAAGGGGAGGGCGATAACGGGAGGACAGGGAGGCGCCTTTTTCGGGCCCTGAGGGCCTTCTGAGAAGGGCCCGTTGAGAGGCCTTAAAGGGCCCCTTTTTCGTCTGCCCTCTCTCCCCCCCATTGATCGCCCCCCCTTAGTCTTGGGTGCGAATTAATGAGAGGAGATGAATGGACGGGGAAGAAAGGTGCCCCTTTCGATCCCTCAAGGCTTTCTTTGGGCTCTCTGAGAGCTGAGAGGGTATCATATCAGAAGCTGGTACCGCAGGGGAGCCCCGGAGCTCATTCCAGCTTCGGGCAGGACACCTCGCAGAAACTCCTGCGAGGTCGCAGCGTGTTCCAGCAGGCCTTTTCGCCAAGTGCTTCCCAACACTTGTGCCGTCGAGCTGTCCAAGAGCTCTTCTCCAGTGCCTCCAGAGCTCCTTCGAGGGACCTTCCAGAAGCTTCCGTCGTCTCGCTCTCTGGGTTTGGGACACCACGAGCTCCTAATCGCGGAGAAGAGAAGTCCGGCATACACGGACGTTTTCGGAGCTCCACACGGGCCTCCTGGATCGGCGCCGGACCCTCCTCCCTGGCGAGCGGAGCGCGCCCGGGGCGCCGCCGGAGGCGCCGCTAGCGCCGGAGGCTCTCAGCGCCGATCTCAGGAATCCGCGCGGAGCGCGCAAAGTTCATGTTTATGGCATAAACTTTGTGCGATTGGTTTATGTTCTCAGTCCGCGCGCTTCTTCTCGAAGAGCAGACGACGCCCCCACGACAACATATTCTTTCCGAGGTCCGCACGGCTCTCTCAGGTCGGTGTTGCCACCCCACGCTACCCGGCGCCTCCGGCGCCAGCCCTGGCGCGCTCCACGCGCCAGTGAGAGAGATCCAGCGCCGATCCGAGAAGTCCGCGCGGACCTGGGATTTGCCATGTTGGCGTTGTTTGTTCCTTCGTCTTCTCCTCTATCGGTGGTGGGGTGGCGACAGTTGCCCCTGGCCCAAGGTGCCCCCAGCTTTTCGCTTAGAGCCCATTGGGCCCTCTGGGCCTCGTGAGGGGTGCTCTGCAGGCCGTGGAGGCCTCCTGGGAGATCCTTGGGGCACCTTTAGCCAGGGGCACTTCTTGCAACACCCGACACTATTCAGGAGGGAAAGAACATACAGACACAAATAATCGTCGTTGGACCAGGCATGCGAAGTGGGGGGAAGACGAAATTCCAGAACGTATCGGAAAATTGCGGAGAATCCTGGGGCTTGTGTCTACTTATTTGTGTGCCCCTGGGCCCCTTCAATCATGTCGGCCTCCAGGGGCCGTACTCTGGGGCCCCCAGCCCCAGGGGACCATCAGATATCCACCGATTGCGTTCCATTGCTCGCAAAGTGCCTACTCGCAAACGTCCGAAGAGCATACATAGCTGCCTCGACGTAGTGGATCCTAAATCCCCCGCGGCGGATCCAGGCCATTTGCGAGCAGCTACTCTGCGAGGAATGGAACGCCCTTGTCTAGATATTAACTTTCAGTCAAAAATATCGTCAGGGGACGATTTGTTGTTACAGTTTCACTCTTGTTGCGTATTAAGTATGTTTTTTTTCTTCCCAAACCCGCCTTTAGGAGGACATGCCCGACCTAAACGTAGTGGATCGTAGTTCCCCCGCGGCGGAACCGGCCACTTGCGAGTAGCTGCTCTGCCAGGAGTCGAGCGAGACGTCGCTGCGTCTGCGTCTTCGCCCGGGAGAGGGCGTGCCCATGATCGGAAACTGGAACATAATACGTTACCAGTGGCGGGCTGTTGTCAATCCCAGACCGTTTTGAGGGTCGGGGACGACGTCCTGGTGTATGCTTTTTCCTCCGTCTTCCCGGAGGAAACAACGAAAAATGTATACACCAGGGTCCCGTGTACACCAGGGCCTGCTTCCCAGTGCAAATTTCAACGCAGGGGCAAAAAATGCGTCTGCGTCTTCGCCCAGGGAGACGATGTGCCCATGCTGCTAGGCCTCCTAGATGGGGTCGGAGTAGATGTGGTCCGAGGATCGCGCCGCATCGCCGATGCATCGGCGATGCATCGCCGATGCGGCTCGAGGTGGAGCCCGATTTTCTCCACGCCGACGTCGCCGATGTGTCGCCGATGCGTCGCCGATGTATCGCCGATGTATCAGCGATGCGGTGCGATCCTCCGACCCCATCTACTCGGATCCCTCTAGGAGGCCTCTAGCCTCGCCCCTCGTCGGAGGGACCAACCCCTCACGATGAGCGGGAAAGAACCTTGGGCATTGATTTGAATCAAAGTATGTATGTATATATATATATATACATAGGTGTATATATGTATATAAATATGTTTATATACATGTATATATACACACGCGCACACCCTTTGTTCTTGCTGATTTGTTAATGTCGCTCTTTCTGGGCTTCGAGAGACTCCCGAGACCTAGTCTGGTGGGGCTCGGAGGAGGACGCCCGATCAGCACCGGGGGTTTGATGCCGGACGTGTGGAGGGTCTCGCAAGGTACGGAGGGGCAGGGAGGAGGGAGGAGGGAGGAAGAGGGAGGTGGAGGTAGGAGGAGGGAGGAGGGAGGAGGGAGAGGGAGGAGGGAGGAGGAAGGAGGAGGGAGGGGGGAGGGAGGCGGGAGTGAGGAGGAAGGGGGGAGAAGGCAATCCTCCTCGTTCCTCATTGTCTGTTGGCCTTTCAGGGGCAACCCTAGGCGACACGGTGGGCCACAGGTCGAGCAAGGGATCTGGGTAGATGTTGGGAGGGGCCGAGGGGCCGATGTGGACCAGATCGCATGCGCTCCACGGACGGCGCATCCTCCACCCGTCATCCTCTCCTGCAGTTGTATCCCCGCCATCTGATGTGTATATACATATATACGTGTATGCATACGTATGTCTGTATGTATGCATGCATGCATGCATGCATGTGTGCAGGTAGGTAGGTAGGTCGGTCGGTATGTTGGCATGTAGGTAGGCAGATCTGTCGGTATGTCTGTATGCAGGCGGGTAGGTAGGCAGATAGCTAGGTAGGTCGGTATGCATGCATGCATGTATGCATGTACGTAGGTCAATAAGTATATATGTATGTATGTTTGAAAGAGCGTGTTCTACCGCTGCTGGCGGAAAACCGGGGGGGGTCACTACCGGTTCGAACCCCTCCCCCCCCCCCCCCCCCCCCCCTCCGGAAAACCGGGGGGGGTCACTACCGGTTCGAACCCCTCCCCCCCCCCCCCCCCCTGCTCATCATGAAAAGGGGGGGGGGTCACTACCGGTTCGAACCCCCCCCCCCCTCGAAAACCCAGTGGGGGTGCGGACAGAGGTGGGGACGGTGTTGGTGGGACAGTGGTGAGGGGATAGCGGGACAGTGGTGGGGACAGTGGGACAGTGGGACAGTGGTGGGGACGGTAGTGGTGGGGACAGTGGTGGGGACAATGGTGGGAACAGGGGGGGACAGTGGACAGTGGTGGTGACGGTGGTGGTGGGGACAGTGGTGTGGGGACAATGGGAATGAGGTGGAAACAGTGGGACAGTGGAGGGTACAATGGTGGTGGGGACAGTGGTGAAGGCGGTGGCGAGGACGGCGGTGGGACAATGGGACAGAGGTACAGTGGGGACAGTGGGGACAGTGGTGGGAACAGTGGGACAGCTCAGTGGGACAGCGGAGGAGTCAGTGGGACAGTGGGGACAGTGGGGATAGTCGGGCAGTGGTTGGGGCCGTGGAGACAGTGGGGAGAGTGGAACCGTGGTGGGAACAGTGCTGGGGACAGCGGGGACAGTGCGACAGTGGTGGGGCCACTGGTGGGGACAGTAGGGGCGGTGGTGGAACCAGTGGGGACAGCGGTGGTGAGGACAGTGGTGCTGGGAACACCAGTGGGGGATGTGATGCGGACGGTGGTGGGGACCGGGAGTCGTTTGCTGGCGGTGAGTAGGGGGGGGGGGGGGGGGGGGGGGTTCGAACCGGTAGTGGCCCCCCCGGTTTTCCGGATCCGAGGGGGGGGGGGGGGGGGAGGGTTCGAACCGGTAGTGACCCCCCCCGGTTTTCGAGCGGGAGGGGGGGGGGGGGGGGGGAGGGGTTAGGAGAGGGGGGGGTTTTGCCGGGGGGGGGGGGGGGGGGGGGGGGGACCCCCGGGTTCCGGAGGAAAAGGTTGGCAATTTTCCACAGTAAAGCGGCGGTGGATCACGCTCTCTCGTATGTTTGTATGTATGGTTGTATGCAGGTATATTTGCATGCATGCATGTATGTATGAGTGTATGTATGGAATCGTGTATACATGTGTGCACGCATGTACGTATGCATGTATGATTGTGCGCATGGATGTATGCATGCATGTATGTGTGTATGTATGTTTGCATGTACTTGTGTGTGCTTATATGCGTTTATGTGTATGTGTGTATGCATATATGTACCCACGTATGTATGCATGCATGCATACATGCATGTACGTATGCATGTATGTGTACGTGCGTGTTTATGTATGTATGCACGCGTGCATGCATGCCTGTTCGTATGTGTGTATGTGCGTGTGCATGCATGCATGCATGTATGTATGCACGGATGCATGTACGGATGCATGCCTGTATGTGTTTAGGTGTGTAGACCTTCAGGTGTGTAGGCAAGTAGGTATGTCTGTCTGTATGTATTTACGCATGTATGTATGTACGAATAAATGTGTGTATGCCTGTATGTATGCATGCGGTTTCGTATGTGTATGTGTGTATGTATGTATGTATGTATGTATGTATGTATGTGTGTGTGTGTGTATGTATGTATGTATGTATGTATGTATGTATGTATGTATGTATGTATGTATGTGTGTGTATGTATGTATGCATGCATGTATGTGTGTAGGTATGTAAGCACGTGTTCATGTATGTATGTATGTCTGTATGCATGCATGCATGCATGCATGCATGTATGTATGTATGTATGTATGTATGTATGTATGTATGTGTATTATGTGTATTATGTGTAGTATATGTACATGTACGTGTGCATGCATGTATGTATAGTTGTATATGTATGTATGCAGGTGTGACCCTATGTGTGACTGTGTGTGTGTGTGTCAGTTGCGCTACCCATGGTGTACCAATGCGCTCTTATCTCTCTCCCTGCCCTGTGGTGCAAGCCCCAAAGCGAAGGTCTGCGGTTCGACGCTCACATCATTGCTTGTCGCTCGCACGTCGAAATCGAGAGGCTTGGTTAGATGAGTGGCACTGCTGCTCGTTGCTCTGCTCGTAACGGTAAGATAGAGTTCTTCCGGTTTGAACTGAAATGCACATGGCGACCAGTTTGACAAAAAGGCAAGGGCCCTTGCTGTGCACCCACCACGAAGCAAGATGCGGAGTACGAAACATCCATGAGCACATATCCACTACCATATTGAGTCGTCATATGATTGCAATATGCCCCGCTGTGGTGTCCTGGGCATAGCGCCGGAAGGGCCTCCTCACGCCCAGCTGCTTCGCAGGCGTGCCTAGAAGTTTCCTGGGGCCACGTTGCTCGTGGGTGCCCTCTCTTCCTCAGGAAGGGAGGGGGGGGAGCTGGAGGGGGCAGAATTGCTGAAGCTTTGTGCGCCGCGCAGCTCAGGAGGGGAAAAACACACACAGACACAATTAAGCGTCGGTTCCCAGGAACATATGGGAAAGTATGGGAATTGGGGGGAAAACGAAAACCTTGAAAATATGCGGAAATATAAGGGCATCCTGCTGTTTGTGTGTATTTCTTTGCGCGTCCCGGGGCCCCTTTAACAGCGTCGTCATCTGGGTGGCCGGCGATGTGACCAAGAAAAGTGACGCCTGCGGAGGAGCGTGCTGCTGAGCGGGTGGGCGCTGGCCCGCTGAAGCGCGGCGTCACTCGAGATTCTGCCGCTGTGCGTGTCGGGAATACGCAACGGTCTGCGCGAGAACCGCGCTTGGAACGCGTCCAAACGCCACGTTTTCTGCCTGATGAAATACGGAGCTTGCAGACAGTATAGCAAATCGTAAGGTACGAAATCCTTCTCCTCCTCCTCATCCTGCTCCTCCGCTCCTAGATTGGGTGAGACTTTGCGCGTTGGCTTACTAGGGCTAACGGTGCTGCCCTGCCGAGCAGCGCGAGGTGCCGGTCTCGGTGCCACGCTAGTGGCCAGGGAATGCGGTTCGGCAGAGACTCGTGACTTGAAGAACGGCCAGGGTGCGATTGATGTCATGGCCCGCCCTTTCTCATCCTACGCTGTTCTGCCGTTGCCGATACCCGAGCCCATCGCTGTTGTAGTCCCGCTGCGCGGCATTGCCGTCGGTTTCGTCTGACTCGTTGCATTCAACGGTGACCCACCCAGTAGGCTCGACGGTGCCCGCAATGCAAGTTGTGTTTATTGCGAAGGCCTTACGGCCGGTGCCGCCGACCCTGTTCGCAATGCGCAGCAAGAGGCACGGGCTGTGGGATGGTTTTGGGGAGAGGGGAGAAGGACGAGAAGGTGGGGGAGGGAGGTGTACTTTTGCTGGTGGTCGTTTTCTTCCTGCCGTTGCTGTTGGCCATGATGATGGTCTTGGTGGTTCTCTTGCTGCTGGTGTCGCGGGTGCTGCTGGTGGTTCGGTCGTTCCTGGCGATGGTGACGGTGTTGCTGGTGGTGGTGTTCCGTCTGCTGCTGCCGTCTTGAGGCAGCAGCAGACGGAACACCACCACCAGCAGGACTTGAGGAAAGGCGCGGGGCGCGGGGCGCTCTCGTTCTGTGGAAAGGAAGGAGAGGGGGAGGAAAGGGAAGGCTCCCCCCCGTGTGGACAGGGGGAACAGAGGGGGCTGTGGACAGGGGGAACAGAGGGGGGACGGGGGAGAGGGGGGAAAGGCGCGGGGCGCGGGGCGCTCTCTTCCTGTGGACAGGAAGGACAGGGGGAGGAAAGGGGGGGCTCCCCCCCGTGTGGACAGGGGGAACAGAGGGGGGCTCTCTGAGGCGCTCTCCTCCTCGGGCGCGGCTCGGGGGCGGCTCGGGCGGCTCGGGCGCGGCCTGAAACAAGAAAGAATCCTTACGTGGAGTACTTACGGGGGGGGCGTCGTATCTGACCCGGGACTTCCCCGGGACTCCCCCGGGACCCCCCCCGGGACCCCCCCTCCCCCCCCCGTCGGGGAAGGGAAAGGGAAGGGGCTTCCCTTCGACTCAATTACGACGTTGCTCAAGGTCGGTTTGGCTGGCGCGCTTGAGGAGGAGGCCCTGGGAAAGACCCTCCCTCCCCCTCCCGGCGGGGGAGAGATTAAAGGGAAGGGGGAACAGAGGGGGGCTCTCTGAGGCGCTCTCCTCCTCGGGCGCGGCTCGGGGGCGGCTCGGGCGGCTCGGGCGCGGCCTGAAACAAGAAAGAATCCTTACGTGGAGTACTTACGGGGGGGGCGTCGTATCTGACCCGGGACTTCCCCGGGACTCCCCCGGGACCCCCCCCGGGACCCCCCCTCCCCCCCCCGTCGGGGAAGGGAAAGGGAAGGGGCTTCCCTTCGACTCAATTACGACGTTGCTCAAGGTCGGTTTGGCTGGCGCGCTTGAGGAGGAGGCCCTGGGAAAGACCCTCCCTCCCCCTCCCGGCGGGGGAGAGATTAAAGGGAAGGGGCTTCCCTTCGAATCAATGACGACGTTGCTGAAGGTCGGTTTGGCTAGCGCGCTTGAGGAGGAGGCCCTGGGAAAGGGCGAGGGGAGCGGGGAGGAGCCCAGGGGAAGAGGGGTACCAGGGAAAGGGAACGATAGAGACGACGATTACAAAGAATGACGGAGATGACGGCTCGAACGGAAAAGCCCCTCACACACGCCGACAGGGTCGGCGGATTTTTGTTGCTCTCTTGCGGAAGACGCCGTTGTCGAGCGCGTGCTTCGGTCCTCCCTCTCTCCCTGGCCTTCTCCCTCCCCCAAGCCTCCAGAGAGCTCGCATGGGCCCGGCCGCCCTACCTTCGGTGGCCGAGGGCTGAGCGCTATGCGACCCTCTCTTTGGTGCTTCTGTGCCTTCCTTGACGACCCGACCCGGGTTCTGGCTCCCCTGCTGCAGTTGACCGCCCCCAATCGGGCGGCGGCTGCGTGAGAGGCCGAGCGAGGTCGGACCTGCCCGCAACGCTTCGAGTCCGGCCTCCGATTCTCCCTGGCTTCAGCTGCATCATACCTCCTCCTCCTCCGCCTCTTCTTCCCTCCCCCATCTCTCCCCCCCAGTGCCTCCTCGTCCCGCTCCATCCACCCTCGTCCCGACCGGTCCCTCCCCGTCCATCCTTATCCTCGTTCCCAGGCCCTCGACGGCGTGATTGTTTCCCAACGCGGACGTGGACCCTCGGGGGTCTCGAAGCCTTTCCCACGGCCAGTTGTTCACTCTGAGCATTCTTTCGACATCCTTGGGCCCAGGCCCCCAGAGACCGAAAACTGGCCCGAATCCATTGGATTGCATTCCTTCACCACGAGAGGGGGCCCGGATCCCTCCTCGCCCTCCGCCTCGTCGTCGTTGCCATCCCCCCTGCTGCCCCGCGTGCTGCCTTCCGGGCACCGCCGCTCCACGGCGGCCCTCGCGGTGGCATCGAGGCGCCGCGCCGCCGGAGCGCCCCGAGCCCGGCGCGACCCGGCCCTGCGCTGCAGGTGGCGGGCGGCGGCCCGAGCACGGCGGGCGCTGCAGGCGGCGGCGGGCCTCCCGGCCTCTGCGCCTGGCGCGTGGTGTTCCGCGCAGCGGGAGGCCGAGCCCCGCCCGCCACGGTGGCCGGATCACCCAGATGTCCGACGCATCCCACGCTCGGGTGGTTCTGTGCTGATGGCTGGCTGCTCCGACGGAGGCATCTCATACACCACCGCCGTGCCAGGCCGGGGCCATCCTGGGCTCCAGGATGGTGTAGAGACCCTCCTGGCCTCGGCCAGGATGGCGTATACACCATGCCATGGCCAGGATGGCCCTGGCTGGGCACGACGGTGGTGTATAGATGCCTTCTGCGCATGTTGCTGCAATCATGCAATGTGTTTCTTGGTATGTTGCTAGTTTGCTTGCAGACGTGTGCGTCCAGAGGTAATTTCCGACCCCCTTGGGCCGTCAAAGACCACTCGGCAACGAAGAGCCAGCCCAGAGAAGGGCGGAGGGTCGCGGGACTCTGGAGGGTCGCGGGGCTCTGGCATCGAGGTGTGCCACGGCATCAAATTGTACCACAGCATCGCGTGTCTGGGTAGTTAGCATCGGGCGGGGCTAGGACAGGGACACATACTTCCAGCGTGCTGCGGAACGCTATCAGAGCGTTCCGGAACGCTCCGGGAAGGCCGCTTCGCCCGATGCATCTTCCAGAACCGCCAGATCTCATCAGGAGCGGAAGGAGCACGTACACGTGCAGGAGTCCATGTTGACTTCGAGAGTACGCTCTGCACGAACGTTCGTATCACGCGGTTGGTCTCGCGGATTGGGGGGCCGTGCTCATGTAATTACGTGGCTGGGCGCGTACATCCTTTCTGGGCTCCTGATCTCGGAGATCCCTGGTTTCTCCATGTCCGCTGTCGTCGTTGCTCTGACTTCGTCTTGCATTGGGGGGCCTCGTCTTCCGACTCTTCCCCTCTGCTCGGCGCCGCTCTCGCGGTGGCGCTCGCGCGCCCCGGCGCACTGGGGCGAATGTTGTAAGGCGAGTTTGCCGTCGGCGAGGCCCCGTTCGAAGAACAACACAGTTTGTTTCGAGCGATCCCCACCGAAACCTTCGGCGGTTGTTCCCAAGTCTGGTGCTGGTTGTTACTGGCCACCCTGAGCTCGCCGTTCATGTCGCGTTTGATGTGACGCTGTTACTCTGTCGCTGCTGCATTCTACTCTATCACATTTTGTGATGCTATATTCATATCGTGTGTTATTGTGGTTTTCCTCATGTGGTCAGCCTTACGTCGGCTCGCATGTTGCGTTTGATACGGCGCCATTAATCGGTGGCTGCTGTATTCCACAGTCTTCAGCTATGTATATTTTCTGTTCAGCTGTACTCTATTATGTTCTGTTCAGTTCTGGACGCGCTCGCGTTTCGTTGTGGGGCTTGTCAGGTTGGATACGTCGTCCGACCGGTCGCTGCTGCGCCTCTTTGTTCCTGTCGCCAGCCTGAGCGCACGTTGCGCTTGATAGAACGACGTTAATATGTCGCCGATGTGTTTTATGTCATATTCAGCGATGTTCGATTCTAGAATGTTCGAGTATATGATGTTCTATGTTTGATGCTATGCGATGCTTTCTATATTGTTATTGCACGCTGTCCTGTTATGCCGTGTTGCGTGCAAATCTCTCCTCGTATACATTAGTTGACAGTCTTTTGTTATGCTAAGTGCTAGTCTGTTCAGGGTTATTGCTTGTAATGTGCGCTTTCGCGCCGCACCCATTATTTCCTGCCCGTTTATAATCATGGTTCTCTATTGTATGCCGATGATGTGTTTATGCTTACACTGCATTGATTGATGTATTACTACGGTACTGCATCTGCATTCTGAGGTTTGCATGCTAGCGATCGCATTTCTATGTTAAGCTAGGTGTGTTGCGTCATGTGTGTCTGCTTGCCGCTATCATTCGCTATGCTTTGTGATTGTTACATGGTCATATCACCGATCTCAGTGCTATAAGAAATAGTGGATTATGCTTGCATAATTCTCTATGTTCGGTCATGCGTTGTGCGATTGTGTGTTGTCGCAGTTGTCTATGACACTATTTTCTTGTGTTGACATTACCCTTCACGTAATGTACATCCTGCTCTCGTATGTCATCGTCGTTTCCGTAGTGACCGCGGTAGCATTTCAAGTGTGTTGTGTTATTGTATGGTCTGTTGATGTATACTAGGCTATTCCTCGTTCTGACGCAGCAGGGGATGCTCTGTTATACTATGATCTGGTGCTATGGTACGGTATGGTATTCCTCGTTCTGTCGCAGCAGCGATGTTGTGCTATGGTACGGTATGGTATTGCATGTTGTGGTTTGGATCGTTATAGTATGCTCTGCTGTGTTACGTGCTGCTCGTTTCATGGTAGTACAGTATTGTGTGTTATGCTATGGGATTGCATGTTATTTCATAGAAATTGTCATAGGTGTATCGGTAGTCGAGCAGTTACCCTGTGCTCTTAGATGTTTGGTTATGCCAGACTATGGAATGCCCCATTCTGTCACAGCATGGCTTGCTATGGTAAGGTATGGTTTGATATGTGATGCGACGTTATCTTATTTTCGAGTATGCCACATGATGCCATGGCATGTTAGATTGTGTTACGCTATGTTCAATTCATGTTTTATGATACGTCCTGTCATGATTTAATATTCCTCTTCACTCATGGTATATTCTTGTTTGTTATGCTAGAGTCGCTGCCGCTACGGTAGCAGTCCTATAACAGTTATGATATGTCATAGTATATTCCTTATCGTTGTACCATGTCGTTATCCGCTCTGTCGTAATAGGGCGTACTGCACCTGGTATGATGATGCCATGCTATGATATGACATGCTGTGCCATGGTGTGGTATGGTGTGTTATGGTATGTCATGGCATGAGATGTAATGGGTTGTGGTAGTTTGCCCTTGTTTTGATGTAGTATGTTCGCTATGTTTTGCCATAGCCATCTTGCTGTTACAGTTAGATATAGGTGCCATGTTGTGCTATGTGATCTTGATGCCAGCTACTCATGCCCTTTTGCCCATGCGTCGTAACGCTTGGACGGCGTGACGCCGTGGCGCCTTCTCCTCGGGCCTGCCTGGTGTGCAGGATGTCGTCACTCGTCGGGAACGCGAGGCGGGTCACTCAGGGATTCCGGAGATCCTGTGGGGTCTGGCGACAGCAGCATGATGCCGTCATTCTTGGAGGATGCGAGCCAGGATGCTCAGGGATTCCCGGGATCCTGTTGGAGTTTGCGACCGCGATATGCAGGGTTGGCAGACGGGAGTTTTTTAAACAAGAATCTCACAACCCTAACCTGTCGTGTGGATACACATGCGGGATCATTTTAGTTTCTCAGGTCCGCGCGGATTTCTATGAGTTCAGCGTCGATCGAAGAAATCCGCGCGGACCTCCGAAAGATGAATGCCAGTAAACGACTCAAAATCCCTCCCCCCTACCCGGGGACCCTGATTCTATCGTAAGGGTTCGGCTCATCATAGTTTGGGGTCGAAGCTATGTGTTTAATCTTCCCCCCCTGCTACGCCCCTGGGCTCGCGCCGCGATGGCGCGCCGCAAACTATTTGTTCAATCGCCCACCCTCCCGCCGCACTTTTTCAGGCGTCGCTTCGATGCAGATTTTGCAATCGCCCCCTCCCCCACCCGCGGCGCCGTTTCGAGGATTCCTTCGGATCCTTGGAAGTTCTTGATTGTGACGAGGAGGAGGAGGAGGAGGACGAGGAGTAGGAGGAGGTGGAGGAAGAGGAGCAGGAGGAGCCGCCTTCCGTCGATCGAGTCCCTTGGTCTAGTCATGAGCGTAACCAGATGCCCTGGGAGCGCCTGGGACCGCCCTGGGAGGGCCACGGCTCGCCAGGGGGGGACTTCTCACCGAACTGGATCGCCCCCCCCCGCTCCGAATTGTCAGCCCTCGGGCCCCCTCTGGCCCTCCAGACGGCCCGGGGGCCGACCCGAATTGTCGCCCCCCCCGTGGGCCGAGCTCCCTCTCCCCCGATTGCGGGGGCCCAGGGCGGCGAAACTTGTTTCACATCGTTCTGATCACATTGTGTTGATGCAGCGTGTCTTCCTCTCTTCGACGAGGCCCCATACCCCCTCCCCACAATCTCGCCGTCGCGGCAGCGCCGCGTTCTCACCGTGAGGGGAAGCGTGTGCCGCGTGAAGGGCCCGTGGCGAGCATGCGCCACGGGCCGCCGCGCGTGCATATAGGAGTTAGGAGGATGGTGTGGCCTCCTTCGGCCACCGGGATGCTTCTGGGCCATGGGTCGGCCACGGACCGGGAGACCGCTGTGCAAGCGAACTGCCAGATCGGCGGTGCTGTCTTCCCAGCTGCATTTTGCCGTATGATGCACGTAGTCGTTGGCTTGACTTGGCGCAGGGTCCTTCTCGGGCCCCGAGACCGTCGAACAGATGCTACTGACGGTAAATGGCCTTGGGGGACCCCCTCGGGTATCCAAGACTCGCTTCCTTCTCTTCTTCCATGGCAAGGGAGGCGTTTGGGAAAGCGGAGTGTCGCTTCGCGAGGGGATGGCACGCCCTTGCTTGGTACCGAAATTGTTTGAGGAGTATCGGGTTCTGGAGGTGACAAGCGGTGTACCAATTCAACGTGGTTGTCTGGATATTGACTTTGCCGCAGTTGTGAGACTGAGGAGCGACCATAAACGATCGATCACGACCACTGGGCACGAGTGAGGCTGGGTTCTTTGGCGGACCAGCAGGGTGCCCAACTAACTTGCAGAAGGATCATCTATATTCACATACACACCATCACCGTACCTGGCCACAGCCATCCTGGGCCCTCGGATGGTTCCTAGTTGGTCCCCGGCGGCTTCGGCCAGGGAGGCGCATACACCGTGCCAGGGCTCGGGATGGCCCCGGCTCGGCACATTTGCTTGTGGAGGATGCTGGCACCGCTCGGACGTGCGCGCTTTTCCTCGGCGAGGACCATCGGCGAGGAGCATGTTGACTCATCCTGCGAAAGATACACGCGCGCCATTGAACACAGCCCGGGGAATGGCCGTCCGAGCGATGGCCAGGGATGAGCCTTCTGCGCGCAGGTGGTACAACTGGTGCTCGGTGCGTACCACTCGTGCCGCTTCCCTGCTCGCGCTCCTCGCTGGAGCAGCAGCAGCAGCAGTTGCTGCTGCTGCTGCATGAAGAGCGCCCTGATGCACGAGGCGTGGCACCGCGCGAGACTTCAAGATCTGACGTCTTCTGGATTGGCAGTTAAACTTTGGGATCGGGCCCACTTTGGTTTCGTGAGGGGGCCGCTATTCCTGGGGTCGTTCCGCGGGTCATTCGCCTGGCGCTCCTCGCGCATCTGGAATCAATTGATGCCCCAACGATGCGTCGTTCTTTCTCCGATGGTCCTCATGACACTGATTTGTCTGTGCCATGAACGTGATGCTGGGGCAGGAAGTGGCCGTTCCCAACGACGTGTAATCAAGGCAAGCGTCGATCGGTCCTTGTGGATGGTTGGCGTTGGCACGTTCCCTTCTCGCAGGTGGATCAATCAATAAGCGCATGGAAGTCCGTGACTGTTAACCCGCCTGTTTCGGTCGTCGATCGCTTCACCGAATGCAACAAGTTGGTTTGTATTTTACAAGGTGACACCTGACTGAGCGGCCCCACTCGTTTTGGACTCTGTGCGAACTCGAGCCGGCGCACCTCTCTTGTCATGATCTGGCCACGGCCAAACTCTGGCTGACTCGGAAGGTGCTTACCTGAAGCTGCACTGATTTTCTTGAAGTAGTTGTCACCGTCAGAGGCACTGAAGAAATGTGGTACGCGTGCACGATTGAGAACCCAACTGAGTGGAGTGAGGACGTTCATGCCGTTCACTTCGCTGCGCCATCGTGCTATGGATAGGCCACGAAGTACACAAAGACTGTCAACCATCTTCTAAGCGCTGAATGGAAAGCATAATCAGCTCATGCGGCAGTTTGGCGAGTTGCAGCGATCAGGTTTTACAGTACGGCGCGCCAGCTTCGCTCGGAGCAGCGATTGGTTGAGTGTGCAGCCAGGCCTTGGCACATGGTCAAAACAAGCGGAGTCAGGCAGAGCCGCTATCGTGAGAACGTGCATCCATTCGTCCAGCGCATGTTCGAAACCGATTCAATCAAAGCACCAGTACAACACACAAATCAGTACGTTTACAGTGAATCGTGCTCATCCGATCAGGTATGCACAGTTGTCCCTCTTTTATTATAGTGTGTAATTTGCTCGCGCCGGCGATGGCTGTAGCTAGTGAACATACCTGTATGACGGTTCCCGTAAGGATCTTGTATCAAACGTGGTTGCAACGCGATTGCTACGAAGTAAGTTGTACTCGGTTAATCGTGTCTTTTTTCGACCCCACTCCTTTCAGCTTGCCACTCCTATTCAGAATATGATGCCTACTGACACCATCACGTTTACATTCTACATGTGTTTCTACCCCTGCATGGACCGCAACGATCTCCATCCAATTTCCTCCTTCTCGCACAAGGCTCTTGCCCTGACGCACGTCCCTACCGTGATTATACGCCCTGGCGCTTGATCATGTCCGTCACCAGGCCGTTGGAGGAGGAGGAGGTGGAGGAGGAGGCGGCAGCGGCGGTGGTGGCAGCAGGACGCATGTCCTCCCGAACTGACCGCTCACTTTTGTCCCGGGAGGCCGCGGGGGCATGGCGGCATTGAGCTCGGAGTGGGCGGAGCTGAGCACGATGGCGGTGCGCCTGAGGCGCCTGTCGGAGACGTTGCTCCAGGAGGACACGCGGGGCCGGTTGGGCCCACGGCTCGGGTGGGGTACGCCATTCGGCGACTAAAGAGGGTCTTGGCATCGCTCGGACGTGTGCATTTTTCCTTCGGCGAGGGCCATCGAGGAGCATCCTTGATCATTTGGCGAAAAAAACACGAAACCGAACAAAAACACAGGGAATGGACGTCCGAGCGATGGCGAGGGGTGTGATTACGCCGGGCTGAGGTTTGCGAATTGTGTCGCTGGGGCTTGGAGGCGCCACGGTGCTCTCGTGGGGCCTCCTCGGGGCGTGGCGGAGAAGTCCGTCGAGGTCCCCGCCCACCCCGAAAAGAGTGCGGGCTGCAGGCGGCCCCTCTGCAAGCCACACCCTTCGGAGTCGCCGAGCCCCACGGTGGAGTCAGGGAACAAATCCAGCTAGTCAAAAGCTGATGTTTCTCAGGGACTGTCCAACGCAATTCTCCTCCCCCCCCTGGCCCTACCCCCCCATCGAGGACCCCTCAAGCGGCCAGGGGTCGGCGTGGGAGGGGAAAGGAGACGAGGGGAGGGAGGGGAGAGGTGAAGGGGGAGCATGGGAGCGGATGGGATGTGGTGGAAGGGCGGATGGGGAGGGCAGCCAAAGGGCAGGTGCACACCTCCTGTCGGGCACAGGCTGTGTTCTGGCACCCACGGGCGCCGAGATCTGCCACGCGCACACGGCGCAAACAAGCAGCGTTCTGCGGCAATCCGCGGGCGGCTGCCAGGGCTGCAGCACATGTCCCGCGGAGGGGGCAGCGCCTCTGGGGGTCACGTTTTGAGGAAAACACGACGTCTGGGATTTGGGAAGAGGAGGAGGAGGAGGAGGAGGAGGAGGAGGAGGAGGAGGAGGAACGGGAGAAGGAGGAGGAGGAGGAGGAGGAGGAGGAGATTGGAGGCGCCATGGGCAAGGGCCTCTGGCCAGGTCACCCGCCTAATTAGGGCGGCGAAGATCAGGTGCGTCTCGCGCGTCGTGGCCAGAGCTGCCTCCCGAGTGGCCTGCCGAGGGCGTGAAGATGACCAGCGCGCCGCGCACCGCAGGGCTCGGTGCGCGAGGCCAGAGGTCGGGGGTGGACAGGCCTCCTGCCCTGACACGTCGATTAAGGAATTGGCCGTTTTCGGTTCGCGAGAGGGCGTCGCGGCCGTCATTTTTGCGGGTCCAGGTCCGTCAGTTTCGGTCCCAGGCCGTTTTCACGAAGGGGAGGTCTACTACAAGGAGGTTTGTCCACCGCCGAAGAGAGCGGGGGGGGGGGGGCGGCAGGCGGCTGTGACACGCGGGACCCCTGGCGAGGAGCAGGGACCCTGATGCAGGAGGAGAAGGGTGAGGCCGATGAGCCCGTCGCCCAGCAGCTTGCCTCAAAAAAGACGTCGTCATGTTCATCACGAGCCGCTTCCCGACATTCCCAGGTCACGAAATGGGCGGTCGCGGGCCAGAGTAGGCGACTAGTTGCTGCGTTTCGTGATCACCACGTTGGAGACCTGGGAAGCAGGACGGGGAGGAGGGGTGGGAGGAAGAAGAGGAGAATTGCGCCACCGGCTATTTTCAGCATGCGAAGTTGAGCAGCAGATTTTGGCCACCCTCGAATTCGACCCTCGAGTTTCCTCATCCTCGTCTTCGCCCTTCGCCCTTTTCCTAGTGTTGGAGCCGTTTCGTGGAGGTAAGCAAGCGCGAATACATAATATTCCTGGAGAGAGCAAGCAGCAGACGAGGACTTCAGCGCGGTGACGGAGCAGGCGTTTGGCAGCGGCCTCCGGCACATCTTGTGCGCGTTCGACCAGGCCAACGTTTACTCTCAGCCACGCGCAGGGGGGAGTGGGGGGAGAGGGGAGGGCTTCTGAGAAGCACCCCTGCTTCTTAGAAGGCCCGGGCCTTCTCTATAGATGTAAGGCCGGCGCCTTCCAAGAAGCAGCCCCCTCCTAAGAAGCCCCCCCCCTCCCTCCACCCCCTTGTGCGCGCCGCCAGTACTCGGCGGCGCGCGAGGGGAGAAGGTGAGAACGGGGCCTTTCCAGAAGGCTCGGGAGTGCCCCAGCCACAGAACCTTCTCCGAGGGCGCGAGGGCCTCCGAGAAGCCCCGCCGCCTCCTGAGCAAGGCCTTCTCATTCTCGCTTCCCCCCTCGCTCGCCGCCGATCTACAGTCCCCTCCTCCCCTTTTCCCCTGGGGCTTCCCTCGAAGACGAGAAGGCTTTGTGGGCGCGACCTCTTGGCACCCCGCGCGGAATTCTTGGATCGGCGCTTGGGCTCCCCTGGCGGCACCTCCGGCGCCCCCTTGGCGCGCTCCGCGCGCCAGGGAGGGGGGTCGAGCGCGGATCCAAGACATCTGCGCGGAGCGCCAACAGTTTATGCTTATGCCGTTTTTTTCTTTTTCTATCTTCCTCTCAGATCCAGGGCTGGACCTAAACGTTGTTTTGCGGGGCGTCAGCTGTGTTTGGTGTTTCGTTTTGGCAGGGAGGTATGGGAAAACAGGCAGAGCAAACTGAAGCACAAAACGAAAACAGCACGAAAAACAGCGTGCAGATCCAGCCCTGCTCAGATCCCAGAGGCGAGGCCGCCTCTGGGCCCAGGGAGGGGGGGGGGCGCGCACGGGCCCCGCCCCTCGGGAGGAGCAGGCCGCCCCACAAGGCTTAGGTCGGGCCTGTCCCCCTACAGGAGGGATTGCCCAAAACAATACAAAAACAGTCGGGGAACGATTTTTAACTATGTTTGACTGTTTTCCCTGTTTTTTGCATATTCTCCATGTTTCGCCCAAAATCCGAAAAAAGAGGACATGCCCGGCCCAGCACAAGGCACGGGGCCGGGAGAGCCCCATGGGGCTCACCTCACGAAGACTCCGTGTGCCGCGGCAGGCCCAGGCCCCCCTCGCGTGTTGCCAACCAGAAAACCACGGCGGGAGGCGCTTCGTGATCTCTTCGGCCTCCGAGAGGGCCCTTCCCAGACTCCCCTCCGCGTGACTCGCGCGGCGAACACGAGCACGACGGCGGGGGTTTTCCATGGCTCACGGCCTCCACGGGGGCCCCTTCGGGGCCCCGGGACCGCCCTGAAACGACTCGGGGTGAAGCGCCGGTCCCGGGGAACGGTTCCAGACCTCTGAGAGTCTCGGGGATGGACAGACCCCCCTTTAGCAAAACGTGGTTTAGTGAAAACGGCCTGAGGCCCAAACCTGGCGGGCGCAGGCCTGGAAAATAGCGGCCACGGCGCCCTCTCAAGAACCGAAAAAGGACAATGCACTAATCGACGTGTCACTGTTGGGGGTTCTGTCCGCCCCCGAGAGTCGACCAGGCGCAAGAGTGACCTTTCGCCGGAGTGACCCTTGGTGCGGGCACGGACGGGCCCCCAGATGGCTGAAGGGGAAGCGGTAGCAGCGGCATGCGCGCTTGCCTTTGGCCCACCCGCGGTTCCCAGAAGCTTCGCACCGAAGGGCACTCTTACCCAGGGTCACCCTTGCGTGTGGCCGACTCTGGGTTCGACGTTCTGACCGAAATCAAGACGTCGGGGGCCTGGGGGGGAGGGTCGGACTCCTCTCCGTCCGCCGCCTGCACCTCCTCTCGGCGCCCCCTGCTTCGCCTCCTGCCGCTCCTCGCCTGCTGCCGGGCGTGGCTGCTCCTCGCTGCCGTGGCCGTCCTCTTGTCGGCGTGGGGAGCGGCAGGAGGAGGAGCAGGAGGAAGGAGGAGCGAGGAGAGCGGAGAAGTCGAAGGCGGGGGGTGAAGAAGATGGGGCGGAGTCGATCGTGTGTGTGTGTGTGTGTGTGTGTGCGTGCGTGCGTGCGTGTGTGCGTGTGTGTCCGTGTCTGTGGGTTTGCGTGCGGCCCGCCATCCGCAGTGTTGGGCGCAGTTCGTGCGTGCGCATCCCAGGAGTTTCGTGCGCGGCGGTGCTGCCACCTCCACGGGCGGAGGACCAGGTGCTTCGCCCGTGCGAGCGCAGGTGTTCCCCCTGCGCCCGGGCAGCTCTCCCCGGTGTCTGCCTGCACTCGCTCTCACGCGGCCTCTTGCTCGAGAGGCCTGGGTATCGTTCAGTCGGGCCTGTCCCTCTACAGGGGGAGTAAAAAATTAGTCCGGGGACGATTTGTTGACCGTTTTTGCCCATTCGGGGGGAGGAGGAGGAGGAGGACAGGAGGAGGAGGAGGAGGAGGAAACATATTTGGAGGATGATTGCGGCCGACGAGGGGGCTGACCAGCATTCTGGCGATAATTGTGATGATGATCGCGAGGGGGACGAGGACGAGGACGCTGGTGGTGCTGCTGATGATGATGAGGAGGAGGATGAGGAGGAGGAAGAGGAATGCTGTCACATGTGGCATCGTTTGCCTTCGCTTCTGGAGGAGTTCTCATGGTGGAATGTCGTGCGAGGTCCTCGGGGGCCTCCTGGAGACGGTTACGAGGCCTTCGGGGGGCCGCTTTGGGGGACCTCTTGGCCTCTTGACACGGCCATGGGGCGTGCTCGGGCTGCTTGTGCGCCTCGTGGGCCGTCGTGGGGCCGCCAGGGGGGCGTCATGGAGCTCTTTGGGGCCCTTCTTGGGCCGTCTTGGGACAGTTCTGGTGGGCTCTTGGTCAATCGTGGAGCGTCGGGAAATCGACAAATCGCATCTGCTAATAATGTAGCTGGGTTATGGGTCGTAGACTTGGGGATGTTCGTTGGGACGTCCTGAGAGGAATCTCGGGAGCGTCTTGGAAGCGATGTTGGAATCTCGTGGGGGCCGTTTTGGGGCCTCATGGGGCGTCTTGGGGGCGTCTTGAGGCCTCTTGTGGGCCTCTTGCGGCTTCCGGGGGCATATTAGGGCGAAATTGTCCGTTCAGGCCTCCCTCTTGGGTCATCTTGGGGCCGTCTTGTGGCTCTATCGGGCCGTCCTGGGCGCTTCTTGGGCCGTCTTGGGCCCTTTGGGGGGGGCCTCTTGGGCCGTCTTGGAGCCCTCTTGGGGGCATCTTTTGCCGTCTTGGGGCGGTCTTGGGGGCTTCATGGGTCGTCTTGGACACCGTGGAGGCAGAGAAATCGCATCTACTAGCAATGCACTTCTTCCCAAGGGAATGTATCAACACGCAAGAGCTCTTGGGTGTGCTTTTGGAGGCCTCTTGAGGCTTCTTTGGCGTTCTTTCTGCCGAATGGAGGCCATCTTGGGAGGATGACGACGACGCAGACGAAGGCTGCAGGGCTGCGTAATTCGAGGACTTGGGGACTCGAGAACTGGAAGCGTAGATGACTGCTGCAGGTCAGGTCAGGGAGAGGGGGGTGGCAGAGGATCCACCCGGCTATGCCCACGCGGGGGCTCCGGAGCCGCTGCTGGGAGCCGCCACCCTCGGCCCCAGACTCGGCCGCCTCGCGGCCCCGTGGCTACAGTGCCGTTTTTTTTATACATGCTCCGCGTGCGGATCCTGTTAAAAATGAAGGGAGTTAGTATAAAAAACAACGATGAGTTCGTGCATTAATTCATTCACAGATTAGCCATGTATTAAAATTATGCTCTCTTTTTCTTTAAAAAAAAAAGAAAGAAATCCCATGTATTAAGAACTGCTCTGTTCAGTCCAGCATAACTGCCGCACGCGCAAGGAAGGCAAGCCACACGCGGACTGCGGCTGCAAGGAGTCCTCGAGGTGCTCTGCTCGGCGGAGGGCCGCTTCCCGGAGGAGCCGTGGGGCGGCCGCGGCCGCGCGACGCTCCAGGCTGCAAGGCCTCCGAGACGCCAGGGGCGGCGGCCTCGCCTCCGGCCCCCTTGGCCGGGAGGTGGCCGCCACCTGTGCGTCCCCGGGGCGGCCGAGCGCCGACGCGCTCGCAAAAAAAAGGCGGGGAGGCGTGCGACGGCCAGGCACCGCCCGACAGGACAAGGGCGGGCAGCTCGGGCCTGCCGTGGCTCCTCTGGCGGAGTCAGAGTCCACGCTGGCAGGAACCGGCGTGCTGGTCGCTGGGCGCGGCGGACGCACCAGGGCCCCTCCGGCGGGGAGCGTAGGCGTGCCGGCGGGCCGGGGGGGCCGGCCCAGCGCAACACAGCCTCGCCAGCGCACCCCAAGACAGCGAGGAGCTGGCGAAAGGCGCCGGGCGTGGGCATCGGGCTGCAGGGGCCAGCGGCTTCCGCTGCCCACGCTGGCAGCAGTCGAGGGCGCGCCCGCCGCTCTCGAGGTGGAGGGCGCGGAGCGGGCGAGCGGGGCGCCCGCGGGAGGAGCCACGGCCCGCTGCTGCTCGCAGAGGGCGCACCTCCTCCAGGCGCCCTGGCTCCGCACCGCCCTGGCGTGCTCCACGGGGTCGCTCGTCCTCATGCCACTGCCCGGGGAGTACCCCGCTCTCTTGCGCCGGACCCGCCCGATGGGGCACTGGCAGCGTACCATGCCCAGATGGGGCAGGACCGACGCGGACCACCTCGACGGCCATGATGATCGAGCAGGGCTGCAGACGGGCACGCAGAATGGGACGGGTGCATGGCGGCAGCGTCCTCGGGCGCTACCCGGCTGGGCCTCCTGGGCGCTTCCCTGAGATCCGACGTCGCGAAAAAATGCCACATCGCCAAAATAACGGCCAGAGCCCTGGATCCTACCTCTCTGCGTCCTTCTTCGAGCCAGATCGCAATCTTAGAGGGCCCCGGGCCCGAAACCCGGGAGGACGAGCCCAGCTCGAACAAAAATCGCAGCGCCAGGATCTCAGGGTTCTCTTAAGGGAACAAAGAAGTGACATAAACATAAAAACTCCGAGGCCCGCGCGGATTTCTCGGATCGGCGCTGGACCCTCCTCCCTGGCGCGCGGAGCGCGCCAGGGGCGGCGCCGGAGGCGCCGCCGGGGGCCCCCAGCGCCGATCCGAGAAATCCGCGCGGGCCTCAGAGTTTTTATGTTTATGTCCCTTTTTGTTCCCCTATCTCTCCACCGAGAGGATCCGGCCGAGGGCGCTCGTCGGCGGCGCCCGCGCCAGATGGCGCACATGCGCGGGCCCCGCGCGAGGCGCGGTGGCCCACGCCCTCCAGGATAGGCCGCGCGCCGCCACCGCAGGCGGCCGCCGGCAGGGGCCGGCCAAGATGGCGAGCCGTGGGGAAGGGCCGGGGCGAGGAGGAGTCCGTTCCGGAGCGTTCCTGCGGTAGCAAATCATGGGAGCCCAGTATTAAGTCGGGCCTGTCCCCCCACAGGGGGAGTTTCGACGAAAGATAAAAACCAATACGCCAACAATACCCCAAAGGTCAAACAAATCCGTTCCAGAGCGTTCCTTCGGTAGCAAATCATGGGAGCCTAGTATTACGTCGGGCCTGTCCCCCTACACAGGGGGATTGTCGAAGAAAAATTAAGCATACGCCAGAAATACCCCAAAAAGGTCAAACAAATACACAACACATAGTCCCCATATTATTTGTTTGCTATTTTTGGCCGCGCCCCGCTCGAGATGGGCGTCCAAGGGCCTTGCATCCTTATCGCGCACCCTTACTCTGCGGGTTGACTGTAACCTCTGAATTCCGTCTCTAGCGTCTGGGAGTGGATGAAATAGCGCCGATGTTGCGTCGATTCGTGTCGATTTAGCAGCGATCGGCGTCAAAGTAGCGCCGACTAGCGTCGATTCGCAAGAGCCGACAAGATGGTACGGGAGGCTCCCATGTGTTGCCACCGAGCGCTCTGGAGCGCTCTCATAATTTTTTGGAACGCTCTGAGAAGGCCGCGGCGCCCGAGACGTCCTCCAGAGCCGCCAGACTTCGGAGATTCTCGATTCATCCTCACCCGAATTGAACCTCGTCCTGGCCCCGTCTTAATCCGAGCCCATGGGTTTGCCAGCAACAGGCCCGTCCATGGCGTGTCCTTCGTGGACGAGTTGCCGGAGCCTGGGCATCTCCAGCGCTCGTCCAGGCAGGCCGCCGGCGGGGCGCACCTCGCGCGGCGATGGACGGGGCGGCGGCACAATCAGACGATGGGCGGTTTTGGTTTCGCGCTCCTCGGGGGCCTCGGCCTCCCAGCCTGCACCCAGTCCAAGACGCAGAGGAGGAAGGGGCACCCATACCGCTGCCCTCTCCTCGCTCTCCCCCTTTGGGGCCTCCTGCGAGGCCCTCGTCGCCACCGCTGGCTTCGCCCCTCAGGTCAGAACGCGCCCCGGGAGAGGTCCCGGGGGGTAACGGTACTGGTATTTCTTGGTTTGCCCGATGACCGCGTACGGGGCCGAGCCGTGCGTCCACGCGGCGGGTGTCGGCCCGGCGCCCAGCCGCATCCGGGAGCGGTGGGCTCCCGAGGAGCCTTCGGCGTCTGAGGGTCCATCCCGCGGCGGGCCCTCCTCTTGCGCCACGCAGTGGGGCACACGCGGCCCTCGACTGCCATGCAGGAGCTCGCGATCCGGCTTCACGGCCAGGCCCGCGCAGATCCGAGATGCGCCGAGGCCATGGCGGGCACTTGGCCATCGCCCAGGACGCAGCGTGAGCATGGACGCAGCACGCCCGCCAGGCTCATGGCTTCTTGGGCGTCCCGGAGCCACCCGGGACGCAGGCGGGACCGACCGCGCGCGCCCAGGTACCACGGCCAGGTACACGAGCTGCCGCGCGCGCCCAGGAACGAGCGCGGCTGGCCGAGCCCGTGCAGCGGGAGGCCCTCCGCCGGCCGGCGCGGGCGTGGGCCCGCCTCAGCTTGCAGAAAGGGCGCCTGCGCGACGCCCCTGGCGGATGTGGCCGCGTGCCGGTCCTTCTGCGGCTCCTCCCCGGAGGCGCAGGCCCACCTGCACCAATGCCCCCAGGCCGCAGCGCGCGCGGCGCTGGCGCGGGTGGGGCCGGGGCCCGGGGGACGCAGCCGCGGGCTTGGCGCTATGGGGCCCGCCCGCGCTGAGTACAGGGGCCCGTGCCGGGCGGCCCGGCCAGCCGGGCGGCCCGACAGAAGGCCGCCTTGCGAGTGCGGAAGGATCGATGGCGAGTAGGAGGGAGGAGGGGGCGGAGGAGGAGGAGGAGGAGGAGGAGGAGGAGGAGGCGGAGGAGGAGGAGGAGGAGGAGGAGGAGGAGGAGGAGGGGGAGGAGGAGGAGGAGGCCCGTATATCCTCGGGGCCCGCCCTCGAACGCGTTGCTAAGGGGGGTATGTGAGGCTCGGTCTCCTCGCAATCGCAGGCCTTCGAGGGCTCCTGGTGAATTGCCGAAAGGCCTCCAGAGGTCTCCTTGGCTCCGAAGCCCCCCGTCGAAGTCTCTGGGATTTCTGGGGATTCCCGCAGGTCGATCATCGTCGGAGTTATCCAGAGGCTTCGAGGCATTGAGGGCCACGAGTCGCCAAGTTGGGCGCTGTCTGTCAATCTTCCCCCTAGGCCCTCGGCGAGTCATCAGCAACCCAACGTGCTCGTGGGCAGATCGGCTTTGACGGCCCCAAACCCCGAGCTCGGTTTCTGGACGCCGAGAATGCCGAGACAATCCCAATTCGACGCTCCCGATTCTCGAGGCTTGGTCAGTGCAAGTGGGCAGCTGGCAAAAACAAAACGCCGCGGGACCACAGCAGAAGCGAGCCGCTGGCCACCCCGGCCCAGGACGTCGAGATCCTCGGGCCGCCCGGGGAGCGCATGACGCCGATCTCGCTGTGGGCCCGCACGCGCCCCTGGGCGCGCCAGATCAAGGAGCGGGCGCCGCCGCGCGGCTCTGACTCTGACTTCCGACAAATCGCTGGGAAACTGAGAATCGGGGGTGGACAGACCTCCCACCCTGACACGTCGACTAAGGAATTGGCCGTTGTCGGTTCGCGAGAGGGCGTCGCGGCCGTCATTTTTGCGGGTCCAGGTCCGTCGGTTTCGGTCCCAAGCCGTTTTCCCTAAAGGGAGGTTTACCAAAGGGAGGTTTGTCCACCGCCGAAAGAGTGACATAAACATAGAAACTCGGAGGTCCGCGCGGATTTCTCGGATCGGCGCTCGGGCCCCCTGACGGCGCCTCCGGTGCCGCCCCTGGCGCGCTCCGCGCGCCAGGGAGGGGGGTCGAGCGCCGTTCCGAGAAGTCCGCGCGGACCTCCGCGTTGTTATGTTTATGCCACTCTTCGTTCCCCTGGATCGAGCGACGCAGAATGACGTGGTCGCCGTCGCCGACATCGGCGCGTGGGCTGCCCGCGTGAGGTCCTGCCGCGCCGGCGGCCCGCGGAGGCCGCCGCGCAAGGGCGCTGTGCTGTCGTGTCGCGTATAAGACCTCTTGTGTTTGCATCGTCGCTCAGTGGTGTTTATGGGGCGTCTCGTTTACATGGAGGGCGGCAACGGAAGGTCAGAGCTGCTGTTCGCCACCCACCGAACCGCCCCAACCCGGCCCGCGGGCCCCGAGTTGCCTTCGTCTCCAGTGGCGGGGGGCGCCGGGGTGCATGGACAAGCACACAGAAAGAACCCGTGCTGTACCCTCCCCGACCCAACATTCGGGTCTTCGGGTTGGGTTGGACTGGTAGGTAGCGATTTGCGTTTACACGCTCAGCATGCGGGAGGCGTTGTCGGACCCCGCGCCGTCGAGGGCGGCCCAGGGTGACAACCGCCCGTGCCAGGGAGAGCGTCGGGAGGCCCAGGGCCCCTCTCGATGCCTCGGACGCGTGCCGAGTCGGTCGTCGAGGTCTGGGCCGTGCACCTCCAGCGCGGGGGGCGTACGCAGGTGCTCGCCCGTGTCGTTCGCTCCCCCCCCCTCGCCTCCTTCGTTTTCGTTTCCTTTTGCGTCCTGACGGGGGCACGCCCCCGCACGCACGCACACACACACGCACACACACGCACACGCACACGCACACACACACACACACGGACACACACACACACACACACACACGCACACACCACACACACACACACACGCACACACACACACACACACACACGCACACACACGCACACACGCACACACACACACACGCGCGCACAAACACGCACACACGCACCGCACACACACACGCACACATTCACACGCACACACACCGCACACACACACACGCACGCCACAACACACACACACACACGCACACACACACAAACACACACACGCACACGCACACACACACACACACGCACACACACGCACACACACACACGCATACACACACACGCACGCACACAGCACAAGGCACATACACACACACACACGCACACACACACACACACACACACACACACACACACACACCACGCACACACACGCACACGCACACACGCAGCACACACCACCATACACACCACACAGACAGCACATCATTTCCACACGCACACACGCACACCACACACACACACGCACACACAGCACACACACACACGCACACACACACACACGCACACACACACCCACACACGCACACAGGCACACACACACAATCACACACACAACACACACGCACCACACACGCACACACACGCACACACACCACACCACACACACACACACACCACACACACCACACACACCACACACACCACACAGACCACACACAGCACACACACACACCATACACACCACAACAGCACACACATTTCACCCGCACACACACCACACACACGCGCACAACGCACACACGCACACACGCACACACACACGCACACAACACACGCACACGCACACACACACACGCACACACCGCGCACACACACACGCAACACACACACGCACACAAACACGCCACACACACACGCACACACACACACACACACCACACACACCACACACACACCACACACATACCACACACCACACACACCACACACCACACGCCACACACCACACCGGACACCACACACACCACACACCATACACCAAACATCATACGCCCACACACCCACACACACACACCCACACCCACACACCCACACACCCGCACACTCATTCACCCACACATACACACACCCACACACCCACACACCCACACACCTACCACACACACACACACCCACACACCCACACACCCACGCACCCACGTACCCACCCACCAAATCCCACACCCACACCCACACCCACACCCACACCCACACCTACGCGCACGCGCACGCGCACGCGCACGCGCACACGCGCACGCGCACACGCACGCGCACCCGCACGCGCGCACGCGCACACACGCGCACAGGCGCACACACGCACACGCGCACACGCGCACACGCGCACACGCGCACACGCGCACACGCGCACACGCGCACGCGCACACGCTGCGCACGCGCACACGCGCAGATGCGCGCACTCGCGCACGCGCGCACGCGCGCTCGCGTGCACGCGCACATGCGCACACGCACACACGCACACACGCACACACGTACACACGCACACGCGCACACACGCACACACGTACACACGAACACGCGCACACGCGCACACGCTCACACACGCACACGCGCACACGCGCATGCTTGCAGTCACGCGTTCACGCACACGCACACGCCCACACGCACACGCACACACGCACACACGCTCACAGCCGACCTGCTGCTCACAGCCGGCCTGCTGCTCGCCCGCCCCTGATCTGTCCCGCGCCACCCCCCTGAAGCGTTGACAGTGAGGGTCGCGCCCGCCCCGCGCGCCGTATCTGGGCGCGGAGGCGGCCGCCGCGGCCGGTCGAGGCACCGCCCCGTGGGGAGCCCGGGGCGGAACCTGAGGACAGCCTCCCCCAGAGGCTCGTCGCACTGATCACGCCCCTCGCCGTCCTCGCCGTTTTCGGTCGGCGGCGAGCGAGGGGGGGGAAGCGGGAAGGAGAAGGCCCTCTCAGAAGGCGCGGGATTACCCCGGCTTCTGAGGAGTTTTCGAAGCCTTTCCCGAAGGCACAAGAGACTTCTCAGAAGGCGCGAGGGCTTCTGAGAAGCCCCGACGCCTTCTGAGAAGGCCTTCTCCTTCTCATTTCCCCCCCTCGCTCGCCCCGGATTCGGGGAATTGTGAGGCTCGAGTACGCCATATTTTTTTCTTGTTTACGATGTTTTTCACGAGTGCGTCCTGGAGATGGCGGTTCAGTTTTCGTGAGATGTCTGCAGCGGGAGCTCGTGTCAAATATGCGCCATAGTCCTCCACGATGGTGCGAAGATCCCGGATGCTGCAATACATGGCCCCAAGGCTCTTGCTCTGCATGCTCCTCGCCTCCGAGCCGCTGTATTCAATCGGCTGTCGGACCATCCCACCACGGCGCCTGGTTCGTAGATAAGACGCCTCTTAGGGGCCGCCTGGGAGCCTCTTGAGACCTTTGAGTGGCATCCTGGCATCCCAGGAGGCGTCTTGGAGCCTCCTGGGTGTTTCTTGGGGGCCTGTGGGTGCGTCTTAGGGGCCTTTGGGGGGCCTTACGGAGTCCTGCTGGCTGTCTCGGGGTGCCCTCTCATGTGGGGGGAGCTTCCCGTTGTCGGGGTCTCAGGAGCCCTCTTGGGGCTCTCTATTGGGAGCCTCTTGGTCTGCCCGAGATGCCCCTACTGAGACAGGAGCGGCGAACACACTGGGATCCTACGGAAAAAAACCTGCGCACGTCTTTCAGGAGGGGGAAAAAAACACACAGACACAAGTAATCGTCGACTCCCAGGAAAATGCAGGAAAATATGGGAAGGTGGGTGGAAGGCAAAAATCCAGAAAATATTTGAAAATATAGGGAATCCGGTCATTTGTGATTATTCATTATCCGTAAGGGCTTCGCCCCCTGCCGCTGGCCCCCTCTCTCGGATAATGGGAGATGCAAAAGCTAAATCATGAGGTCTGGGCGCCGACGTGAAGCAGTGTCGGGACCTGTTTGTTCCCCACATCCTGAGTGGGGTCTTGTCTTCCCAGAACATCCTCTCCTTCTCCCTCCCGCCTCCCGCCTCCCATATCAATACCATTTCCACCCCTCCAGGGAGGCCCCGCCTGAGCGAGGAGGGTATCGGAAAACCATACCATTTACATGGTTTCGTGCCCTTCCCACCTCTCCAGGGGGGCCCCGTCTGAGCGAGGAGACGATCGGACAACCATACTATTTACATGGTTTCGTGCCCTTCCCACCTCTCCAGGGAGGCCCCGCCTGAGCGAGGAGGGTATCGGAAAACCGTACTATTTATATTGTTTCGTGCCCCTTCCACCCTCTCCAGGGAGGCCCCGCCTGAGCGAGGAGGGTTTCGTAAAACAATATCATTTACATGGTTTCGTGCCCTTCCCACCTCTCCAGGGAGGCCCCGCCTGAGCGAGGAGGGTATCGGACAACCATACTATTTACATGGTTTCGTGCCCTTCGCACCTCTCCAGGGAGGCCCCGCCTGAGCGAGGAGGGTATCGTAAAACCATACTGTTTACATGGTGTCGTGCCCTTCCCACCCTCTCCAGGGAGGCGCCGCCTGAGCGAGGAGGGTATCGGAAACCTATACTATTTACATGGTTTCGTGTCCCTCCCTCCCCTCCAGGGAGGCCCCGCCTCAGCGAGGAGGGCATCGGAAACCAATACTATTAAATGGTTTCGTGCCCCTCCCACCCCTCCAGGGAGGCCCCGTCTGAGCGAGGAGGGTATCGGACACCTATACTATTTATATGGTTTCGTGCCCTTCCCTCCCCTCCAGGAAGGCCCCGCCTGAGCGAGGAAGGTATCGGAAACCTGTACTATTTACATGGTTTCGTGCTCCTTCCACCCCTCCAGGGGGGGCCCGCCTCAGCGAGGAGGGAATCGAAAACCCATACTAATTGCATG